AGAGTGGCCCCTGTTTTTTCTCTGACCCAAAGGGCCACTACAGGGCCACCTTCATCTCTCTAATTCTCTCTCTCTTTCTCCAACTCTCTCTCTCTCTATCTACCTCTCCCTCCCTCTCTCTCTCTCTCTCCCTAATCCACTCCTCGGAGCTGTGTAAGGCTCTTTTGTTCTGTTCTCAGAATGGCTGTGGATGGAGGGAGAAACTCTCTGGCTATCACTTACAGCCCTGTGGGCATCACACACTAGCACCAGGGGTGGGGGAGGGGAGCAAAACACCCGGAGCAAACCCACCAACACACACACACACACACACACACACACAAACACACACACACACACACACACACACATACACACACACACACACACACACACACACACACAGGATTGTTTTTATACAGTGTCAGGACACAGCGATCCGGTTCACTCTACCTTAATTTCGCTTTTTTTACTGAAATAAATGACTGACTTTCATTTTGTCTCTACCAAAACAATCATAACACAATTACATATTTACAAAATCATCATTTATAGGGTATTTTCTATTAGGAGGCATCTGTCCCAAACCTTAGACTTATCACGAGTTTCATTTTTAAACAAAAAAACTTCGGGAACACTTTACTGTAGGTTACAGTTCATAAGGCTACATGACACCTACATAAGCTTGTCATGAAAACTGACATAGACTCACATAAATGTTTATAAATGCTTATTCCAATAGGTGTCATCTGTCATAAAGTTTACATTTGCCAATTTTGATCAAAGTTAGCTAAATTAGCCTTTATGACAGAAGACATCTATTGGAATAAGCATTTATAAACATTTATGAAGGTTTATGTCAGTTGTCATGACAAGCTTCGGTGGGTGTCATGTAGCCTTATGAACAGTACCCTACTTTATTCAAATAATGCCATCCCATGTTTTCACTACAGAAACACAGAGTTTTAGTCCGTAGGCGGAGCCTTATTTTAGCCACGCCCCTGCATTTTACAGCAGGAAGTGAGGCTGCATCCCTGTTTCTCATGGCCACACGGTGAGCAGTTAGATCCCATTGGTATGTAGTAAATGTGTCACAAAGTCTGAAAACATTAGTGTGGAACATTAAGAACTGTCACTACCGAAACACATGAAGTAAACTTTTTTTTTGTTATTATTACAATTTTATGTGTGTACAGCTGTTCAAAGCTGTGTTTGCTAGACATGTAGTGGCTGCATTTTTTAGTTCTCCTCAAAATGAGCTAAAATTGTCAGTACCATAATGGTCACTACTGAAACATTTGTTAAAGTTTGGGTGGTGTTATGATTCTTTGGCAGTGACAGAATGAAAGGTTCAATCATTTGTTTCAATAAAATATACATAATTAAGGTACAGAGTCACTCAAACCAAAAGGACTTTAGCCTGAAGTCCAAGTCAGTTAAAAGTCAATGTGTTTCAGCTCTGACCTTGAACCAATCCATGAAATATGGATTATTATATATGTATACGTATGTGGGCATGTTTGAATTGTCTTAAAAATGTACAAAAACAAACACACACACAACAGAGGGGGGTGGTCTGGTGGGTCTTTTTCAGGTACAAAGTTTTCATCAGTAGCTTTCATCCCCGAAACACACACACTCAACACACCGGATCTCCAGTATCAGCATCATTATCCTGCTGCTAATTCCAGGTCATGGCGGGCACTGAGAAACCCTTTGTCTCTGATTTAATGGAGCTGAGTGAGAGAGAGACAGAGAGAGAGAGAAAGACAGAGAGAGAGAAAGAGAGAGAGAGAGAGAGAGAGAGAGAGAGAGAGAGAGAGAGAGAGAGAGCGGGACAGTGGGGTATAACGCCGGTTGCGTTGCGGCCCCTGTGGCTCCGATTCTGTCCAGCTGAAGTCTCTGGGGCTCCTGACTGAGTGACTTTGGGGCCCCTGAGTCCAGCGGCCTTTCAGCCGCCCGCCCGAGGCCCCTCACTGACCCCCTTCAAAAAGTCACATTGGCTTTGCACTAGAGGAGACACAGAAACCACCGCAAGGTACACACAGACAGACAGACAGACAGACACAGCAGACTCCGATATGAACATTTTATCACTGATACTGCAGTAAAAATTCAGATAACGACAATATCGGCTGATACGCTTTAATACGGTCAAAATTAAACAGAGACTTTGGAGGTAAGCACAGCTTGTGAGACTCTTTTCCTAACTATTTGATTTGATTTGACGAGAGCGTGAAGGCTAGCGAGCTGTCCAGAGCAGAAGGAGCCTTGTTCAGACTCCTCCTAGTCAGTTCTACCCCCCGTTCACTGACTAATTAAAATAGCTGTTTTCATTTTTTTAAGATGATAGTTAAAGATGCTGTGCGCTCTGCTCTGCTGCGCCACTCATCGTGGACAGGGCTGCAAAATTTCCCAGATTAGCATTTTATGCTACGTCCCATGAAAAAACTGTTTATGAGAAATGTTTTTTCATTACCTTACAGTATTTTTATTATTTAAAAAAGCAAATTTATCCAAAAAAAATAAGAAATATAAGCAATTCTAATACAAAAGAAGGATGTTAAAGAAAAATATAAATAAGGATACGTTTTCTTCTGTTTCCTCAGTCATTAAAATGAAGTGTCTTTAGCTTTTCTTATAGAATATTTGAAAATGAAAATATCTGATCTGAGTCCTGATATAATATCCATACATACTTACAAACATAAGCCAAACTTTCACACTTTACAGTCCTGTTAAAACATAAACTGAACTGTTAAGGTCTCTGTATGCTTCTTAAGAAGATGACCTTCGTCTGGCTTCATCGAATATTATGACTTAAAAGTGGAAAAGCAAACAAGCGCAGATTTCGCAGACGAAGACTTGAACCGCATGGTGCAAAAGAGGCTCGAAGGCAACAGCCAAACAAAACTGCATTTTGTCCGTTTCATGTCACTTTTACAAAGCTGAAGGTTCTTATTTGCCAGCTATTGGTTCAAATTTTCCGTTTCACCTTAAATGGAGCAGCAGTCACATTCCGATGCACCATTTAAGGTGGAATAGGAAACTTCAGCTTTTTGTTTTAGTTACTCTTTGACCATCAGACACTGCAGGAATTTGGAAAATATTACAGTCATTCAAGCTTCAGTAGCAGCTGGTCCACAACTTGTATCACGCACAAGGCCCTGACCGCAGCACTGTTCGATGCAGCTGACAGGCTAAAGCTAACCCCAAAAGACTGACGAGCACTGACTAGACCAGGGGTCGGCAACAGGCGGCTCTTCTATCGCCCTGTTGCGGCTCCATAGCACAATCAGATTTTTTAGGTAAACATAAAACAATCTTGCTAAAATAAAGCTCTGCTGGTCGTTCTAACACAGTTTTAGGAATAAATGGTCTTAAACGCTGGAGTTAATGTAGCCTATAGCTGTGAATTCATCAGCTTTTGACCCTGAAGATTGGCGCACAGACTGCTGGTCACATTTCAACACAGACAACAATCTCGCCTAGCTAGTAGCTAACGAAAAGGCAAAGAGAAAGATTTAAGAGGAACGTCGGTAATTTGGAGACAAATGGACTTATTTGCATTTATAATCACTCCAGTTGGTTTCCTGAAACGTTTAATCTGCGACGAGAAACTGTCAAACACTAAAAAGTCACGAAGCTGAAGTCAGCTTCTCATTCGCCAGCTACTCGTTCAAATTGTCCCATTCTACCTTAAAGGTGCCGCAATTATATTCTGGCACCCTCAGGCACCATTTAAGGTGGAATGGGAGAATCAGAATAAGAAGGTGGCAAATGAGGAGCTGACTTCAGCTTCAGAAAAAATCGAACGATGAGAGACATTTTACAAGAAAATGTTCTACTTCTGAGGAAAAGGTTCCTGCTGGAGATGTGAGAAAAGCAACTATAGCTGAGCTAAAGCTTAAAGTTGAGCAACGTGAGTCTGTTTTTTCGTTTATATTATATTGTTAGCCTAGCACATCAGCACATACTGAGACACATTTACAGCCAAGATGGTAAAATTAACAAGGTGGTTTGATTTTTGTTGAAAGGACAAAATGGCTCTTCTTAACATCTGGGTTGCCGACCACTCATTTATTTGTGGCCATAAAAACAGTTACAATAAAACTCCACCCGAGAATTTCAACCCTTATACCAGACGAACTAACAAAAGGTTGAAAATGACACACGGCCCATTCCTTAGACACGCTCACAGACACATACAGACCCACACAGCCAGCGCCCCAACTCAGCATGTGTGAGGAGGTGAAAATGAAGTGAAAATAAGTAAAGATTCCTTCCATCCATTCATCCCCTCCTCCCTCCCTCTCTCACTTCCACCCTCGCTGCTCTCATCCCCCTATCAGGAGTGCTCAGAGTGGGTGAGTTTGCTATAAACACCTCCAATTAAACCCCAACAAGCTGTGAAAAAAGAAACGAGTGAACTTTGCGTGTGTACGCGTTCTTTCTAATGCAATGGCAACTCCAGGAGCGATCACAATGAAGCAGAGTGAAGCAGATCGGCACGGCGACCACACAGCAGAAGTAATGTTTTTGTTTTCTTGTTTATGCTTCTCATTTAAGCACACTAAATATGCTCCCTCTCTCCTTGTCTCTCTCTCTCCCCCCTCATCCTAGCGCATGATGCGCTACACACAACCCAATGAGCAGGTTATTAAAATGACCGACTGACATTCTGAATCGGGTCTTATTGTAGATTTACAATATTCAGAGATGTCAATCAGAGCATCGCGTGGAATTTCAATAAGCTCCCCAACTCAAAAGATAAACAAAATACACAAAAAGGTTCTGCTTGCAATGGAGCTGCTCCTTTGTGTTTTGCGGGAAAGTCCAGTGTCCTGTTCTTTCACTCCTTCTGAGCCAAGCCGAGCTGCGAGTACTTACCCTGGACTGATCTCGTGAAGAGACAGCAGTTACTTCCCTTCCCAAACGTAATGATTAACCATTTATCCACAATCTGAGAGTGAATTTAACACGTCTGTAAACTCTACTGTTCATCAAGCGGCGTCTCTAACCTCAGTGCCCGACGTCGTGGCTCCCGGCGAGTCCACCTTGCGCTTTTTCCGCGGGCCGATGGCGGCCAGAGCCGTCAGGTTAGCGTCTCTCTGCCTCATCTGGGCCAGTTCCTGCTGCTGCATCTGTACAGGAGACAAACACAACAACATCTCAATGACAAAACACAGATCAGGCTCAACATAAACGTCTGGTCTCCAAATAAACAAATACATAAATCATCTTTAATATCAAGTTGAATGCATTAACATCACATTTAACACATTTACATCATGCGCACATGTTCACAGAGTGTGGCGTCTCTGGTTCGGACCCACCGCTGCATTTCGTAGTTTGATACTGTGGCATGTGATGTAGACTGGGTGGGCAAACTTAAGATTAAAGACTGGATTGGGGGCAGACATGACTAGCAGACGAAGTCACTGATTATGAAAAAATACGGCGCATCCTTAAAAGTAGGAACCAAAGGAACCAAAGAAAGTTTGAGATTAACCGATTCGTTCAATTATAGCCAATAGATTAATTGATTAACTGATCATTAGCTGCAGCTCTTGCCAGTTTGGTTGTATTTTTCCCCACATCAATATTTATTAATGGTTGGCAATCGGTGAGTTAATATCTAATGATTGATAGTGCTTTTAACAATGCCATTCCCAAACCAGCTTTAAAATGGCCTTGATAAAAGTAATAATCAGCCTGATACCAGAATTACAACCCACAACTCAGCACACCATCTAGCCAATCAACAGTCAAAATCAGGTGTTGACTATCCATTGACCCCCCCATCCAATGCTTCCCTATCCATCAATTCTCTCATCCATCTGATTACATACTCTATCCTTCCGCCAACTTATCCAAACATCTGTTACTTGTAAAGCCAACCACCCACTAAAATGAGTGATGTGTTATTCACTTATTAACATTATTACAGCTGATAATTTAGCGTCAAAATTTGTTAATTATGGGGTTTTAGTATCAGTATATCCTTAATCCAACGCTTACACATCCCTCTATTCTCTCATTCACTCAACTATGTGTCCATTTATCCATCCATCCAACTACTCACTCATGTAACAGCTCCCCGAATCAGCTTTAAATTGGCCAATGATAATTTAATGATTACTATTGGTTTGGTTGGAATTACAGACAATAATTACAAGCTATAACTTGGCACCAAATTTGCTAATGACATCAGAATTGGTCAAAATTAAGAAAACAACTTTGTTAATTAGGAGTTGTTGGTGTTTGTTATTAGTTATCAGTCCAATATCAGTACATTTTCATACTTTCATCCCTCCATTCCTCCATACTTTCATCCCTCTATCCTCCTATCCCTCCATACTTTTATCTCTCCATTCCTCCAAACTTTCATCCCTCAATCCTATCATCCATCCATCACTTCATCCTTTCATTCCTCCATCCTTTTGTTCATCCTTCCATCTTTTCATCCCTCTATCCTTTCATCATTTCATCCCTCCATTCCTCCAACCTTAAATCCCTCCACCCTTTCATCCCTCCATCCTTTTATCTCTTCATTCCTTCGTCCTTTAATCCCTCCATTCTACCATCCTTTCATCCCTCCAACCTTAAATCCCTCCATCCCTTCAACCTTTCATCCCTTCATTCCTTCGTCCTTTCATCCCTCCATTCCTCCAACCACCCACTCACTTGTTCATTTCCCGAGCTTTAAAATGGCTGTGTGTGTGTGTGTGATGTGATTTTTCCCAGGCTGAAGTGTGTGGCTGTAGCGTAGCCGCAGGTAATGTCACGGCTGGCTGCAGGGCTGCGAGGCTCAGCCACGCTCACAGCCTGCTTTCAGAGGACGTGCGAGAGCCTGCGGCCACACACACTCGCTGACACAATCAGCCTCTATCTCACTCACACACACACACACACACACACACACACACACCATCAGAATCTCTCTCTCTTTCACACATACAATCAGATATGCACTCCCTCCCTCTCTCACTCTGTCTGCTGTCTGTCTGTCTGTCTCGCAGTGTTCACAGTGAGGGGGTGTAAAGCTGTGTGCCCGCCGGTGCAGAGAGAGAGGGCATGTTACAGGAGCGAATGGGGACAATCGATGTGTTCTTTCATCAGAGAGAGAGAGAGAGGGAGAGAAGAGAAGAGAGAGCATGACTTATTCCTCATGACTGCGAGATCCATTTTAATATACACTACTGTGCAAAAGTCAGGGACCACCTTTCAGTGGTTTAATTTCCAGTCAGAACAGCCACTGAGTACAGGATATTTCTATAACATAGAACAGAAAATGACACAAAAGCCTCAACGGCTATACTTAGCACAATTTCTCAGTGTTCAGTGAGTCTCTCTTCACCTTTATTCCAGCTTCCATTCTTTTCAGGAGACTCACTTTCAGTTCCTCAAAGAATCTGCAGACACACCTCCAAAGTTCAGTCTTAGAAGCTGGTTGATCATTTTCTGAAGTAATCAAACACATTCAGTGGTGTTGAGGTCTGGACTCTGGGGTGGTCAGTCCATTGTTCAGCTTCTTTGTTTGATGTGTCCGTCTCCTTTTCTCAGTGAGGTTCTTCTTGATCAGCTACACATCCTTTCAGACCCACAGCGCTGAGTCGTCTTCTCACAGTGGAAGGATGGACAGAAACACCTGTGGATGTTTTCAGATCTGAAGCAGCTTGATTTTCTCCTCTCTCTCAGAGATGAAAGCTTTAAGAGCTGTTTATCTGATGGGGGCAGTTTTGGTGTCTACCAGCTCTTCCAGGTGGTTGTTAGGAGTCAGAACTCCAGTTTTTTCATTTATTTTAGTCTTTCCTCTTCATTATGCAAGTGGACAATCTCATATCTCCTTAAATAAGACATTCTAAAACGTTTGCATGTGGATGAGTGTGTACTTGTGCATGCATTTGTGAGCATTTTTGCTTGTGCGCGTGTGTGTATCCGGACAGCCTGTGGCGCAGCACGGCCTTTAGGCTGTTGCCATTTCACATTTAACACTGAAAGACACTGAGAGGGAAAAATCAAACCTGCTGACATCAGAAACTAACACACAACAGCAGAAAGGCACTAACTTGCCCTACACAGACAATAGGGATTTTGATATTCCTAGGATTTTGTATCTTTATCGACAGCACTGGTGTTGCACAAAACCAGTGTTGCAATGGAATAAACTTCAAAATAGTTTTTTGTTTTTTTTTCATAAAAATTGCTTTTCCTATTAGATGAGTAACATAACACAGGCTTACCTCAGATGAGCTAATGAGCTAAAGCTACAGCAAACCAGTAATACTGGACGCTGATGTTTGGTCGTTTGTCAGAGAAATAGGTTTTAACTGTTTAACACCAGCTTAACCTTTCCAGTAATAAAAGCTGCTGCCTCTGCCTTATAGAGCTCTGTCCATTGTATCCAGGTATTTCTGAAAATGTAAGTTTTTCCCTGCGTTAAGGCCTGCAGTTCACATGTAAACAGCATTTTCATTCACTGAAAACTCAGGTTTTCAAAACTCTGTCCAGGGTGGAGATTTTTCATCATGGCTTTAACTCGCACATGCCTGCTGCTGTTCATTTATAAAGTATGCAGAACTCTATCTGATGACTGGGATTCTGAGTGCACAACAATTCGGGGATGATTTGGGAGTTAATATTATGTTTAATTTTTTAATTTGGCTGCTTCATTATTATCCTTCTGCAGAGGTGTCAGAATGTACTGTGCTCAGTTCTCATAAACTGGGTGTGAGCTCGACTGCAAGTGTGAAAAATACCTCAAAGATTCTAAAGATACATAACTTGACAATTATTAACCAAAGTCAGGTTTGAAATAACTTCACAACTCAAATGGGGCGAAAAGCTAGAAGAACTCAGCTGCTCTGCCTGATCTGGACAGTGTGGACTTTGCAGAGACAGTGGCGTAGCCATGGTAATGTAAACAACACCACAGCAGCAAGTTTTATTTTCTAGCAGGAATCGGACTTTGAATCTGGGTAGAATATCAAATTATGGCGGTCTGATGAACTGCAGGTCACATACTGAATGAATGTGAATATTCACATGAATACACAGTACACTTTGACCTACAGCTTACATACTCAAAAATACAAAGAAAATGTCCACGTTTTACAGATAAAGCCACCAAGCACTAATACATCACCAACAAATGCAACAAAATGGTATACTGATGTGTTGACTGTATGTTGCTGTCATGCACTCTGTATTTTGCACAGTGCACAATGGGCCTTATTCACTCATATCTCCAAATCTTTCTTAAATGTGTTCTTGAGAAAGATCCTAAGAAAAAGTCTACATCAGATTCATGACATGTTCTTAAACCGCAGAACTGTTCCCACCTTTGTGCTCCTGAGTGTGTAGATTCTGTTCTTACCTAATAACAAAACCCAAATAAGAAAACAGTGGTGAATGTCAGAGTCTTTGTAAAAACTGTGTAAGTGGGTTTTAAGAAGACATTTCTTCTTAAGAACGGTTAGTGAATGAGGCCCAATGTTCTTTTTAAGGTCTATGACAACAGATTTTGTGGGGCATTAGCATCCCCTACCAGGCTGACCTGTCCATGAGGCGCTGCTGACGTGAGCGAAGATTGTTTTTGCAAACTACGTTTTTAAAAATATCTGTGTAAATGCTGACAAGGCCTCAATCACGTCTTTAACAATGTGTCCTTGGCAACTCATTCATGTTAAGGCACTCGTTTTGGAGTAACATGATATCCATACTCACAAATACGAGCTAAAGGTCCATGTTTTACAGTTCTGTTGATACATGAAATTAGCATTTCAATGAGTTGTTGGCCTGTATATTATCTTCCCGTGATGAACCGCATTGAATACCTAAGCAATGTATTCAGTATCTGAATACTGGCACTCTGAACAGTTGACTGAGTACTGGAGTACCCGTGCATATTCCTAACGCACAATCCTACACAACTAACTAGCAATGGAGGTTACTTTTCACAGTGTGTGTTGCGCTGGTACAAGTGGATCAGACACAGCAGTGCTGCTGGAGTTTTTAAACACTGTGTCCACTCACTGTCCACTCTATTTGACACTCCTACCTTGTCAGTCCACCTTGTAGATGTAAAGTCAGAGACGATAGCTCATCTGCTGCTGCACAGTTTGTGTTGGTCATCCTCTAG